TAATCATATAAAATGGAATGTTCCAACAACAAAAATGTGGCTAGTAACTTTGGAAAACCACTAGCCACATTGGCTGGTGAGAAAGAAAGTTAATGTCAAGCCCTGGCAAAAACCCAAATCCAGGACAGAGCACACAGAATCACAACTTGAGTTTAGGTTGAATTTATTGACACAAAATTTCATAGTAGTGAAGAGCAGAGTCTATGGGTCTTGGGTAAATCCAAGCTTGAATCGAGAGTATAAAGGTGAGTGGAGCAGGTAGAGTCTAGAGTTCCAGGAAGTGAATTCTGATCCAATCAGGAGTCCAGAGATCCAGGAGTTGAAGAGAAAACGTACTTATTTTCACACAAACCATTTCCTAAACCTAACCACATGTTTAAAAGGTGACTTATAGAGATGCTAAAGGTTCACTGATGCCCGAGATGATAAAAGAATGCGTGCTAGCCGCTGTTTATGAAGACTGCTTCAGAGAAGACCTTCTGGGCTTGACACCACTGGACAGACATACAACTGGTGGAATCATTTTCCAGAGGATTTTTGCTTTAGCAACAACATCCATTCTTCAGCACTGACTGTTTCATAAACAAGTTGCTGATATGTCAGCTGAGCATTGTGACCTACTTTTACATAAAAATGTTGGTGGCTAAACAAGGGAAACGTGAGCTTAGGGAGGAGACTGGCACTTTTCCCCTTTATTCTAAGCACAAGAAAGCCGACATGTATCTGTCGCAAATGCTGGATAATGAATTTGTGTCTTGCTTTTTATGCAACATCTTTCATTATTTTAAAGCACTTAATCTGGGATTACATTGGAGGGATAAAACAGTGGTTGATCTCATTGAAAAAATAACTATGTTTCAAAAGAAATGAGTTCTTATCTCATCTGATCTGATCTCACTGACAGACTGTACCAATTTTCCACACGTAACTTTATCAAGTCATCAGCAAGTGCCACTGTCACTCATTTAATGTCCTGTTTGTTAAATAAATTAGAGTTTAGATTTAGATAAGAATTGCTGCATTTTGTGAGGGACCCATTCACCAATGCAGCCACTATTTCCCCTGTTTGTGGATTGCCCTCACTTTACATGAACCGGCCGTCTCAGCCATTGTCCAGGCAAAGAATGTTTTTCTGCTTGTTGACCGAGAACAAGAAAGATGGTCAATTAGCTATGTGTTCAATGAGCCAGTGTTTATTATTTTTATGGATATGGGCCAAGCTGCTTGTAATTATAGCTGTGGTTCTATTCTGTTGAGGTGGTAAATGCAAGTCATCCAAATATGTTCTTTGTACACATTTTGTCTTTGTTCACTTCTCTAATAATGCAACACCCTTTGTGGTAAACAGCTTCACTAGGTCACGACAGTCTCTGTTGTCAAAATGTTCCAAGTCTTTAAAATGTGTGTTGTGTGGCATTTCAGGCAAGTTCAGTTCATTTTGCAGTATCTTTCTTCTATTGTTTGCGTATTTTTACGAGAAAATGCTATGATGTGGCTCAGTAAGAGATGTCAGGCCATATATTTATATACCACCATAATATGCCAAATATCTATATGTGTTTAGTTTGGGTGCTAGATCCCAGCTTGTTTTGCAAAGAAAGTTAGTGTATTAGTGTACTTTTAAAATGCAGCAACAAAAAAAAACAAGTTTTGAAAATGTGTTGGCGTGTTGTGTCAGGTGTACATACATGAGAATGATAGCTCTGGGAAATGTCCGGCCCCTGGACCCTTAGTTCCATGAAAATGTGGCCCCCTGAATGATATACACCCCTGAGAAAATGATATCTGCTGAGAAAGGAGAGCGATAAAAGAGGCCTGGTGAGTTCCCACAGTTTGGACATTTAGGTGGGATAATCAGTCACTGTGTCTAGTTATTGTTTTGAAGCGGGGCTGGTTTTGGAAATAAGAGTGAGCCAGGGTTCTTTCAGGCTGATGGACAGCTCACTTGTCAATGTGAGTGATTTTCTTGCAGGACAAGCTGCTCACACAGCAGTTTTAAATTTTTTTCCTTCATTGTGAGTGTCAGGTAGAGTGCAAGGAAACCAGCAGCAGCCTGGGGGTTCACACAGTCCCTGTTGTTAACACTGACTGATTAAATACTTCCCAGAGGCTCCGGGGTGTCTGATAACTTCTGGCAGACTTTAGCCCCTTTCAGACATGCTCCCCTTTACGTTAACCTGACAGCAATAAACAACACAAGACATAGCAATAATCACTTACTAGTCCAACAGAAGGAATGCAGTTTGGTGTCTGTCTGGCAGCCTTTTATTTCACGAAGCTCTCGCCAACATCCTCTTGCTTGGTCACTATCTTTTCCTCCTCCTTCCTGCATAAACATCCTCTTTGGCCTCTTTGCCTCTACCAGGCTGCTGAGCATGGTTATGTTGCTACACCCAGCTCCAGCACGACTTTGCTAACATCAACTCGAGATTTATAGCTTAAGGTAACAGTAAACCTCTGTCTGTGAAACCTCTGTCTGATTTCGAGTCAACAATCTTACCCGCAAAGTCCACCAGACGCAGCCACAGTGCGTCCCAGAGGCTTCCCAGAAGCAGCTCTCCGCTCAGACAGCTAGTTTATTTTTCAGACCCGTAGCCGTAGGCCTTGTAAGAAGCACAAAAAGGACAAAGTAACAACAAGCCAACAACGTGCTCCATTCCTGAAACATATCTAAGACGCTTCCAGTGGAAGTTGACGCCGGGCAGAGGATGGAACAAAACCGTGGCGCAGCAGTAATGGGATGCAGATCAAAGATAACCCAAGTACAATAACGTCAGTTTGATCTGAGTTTAACATGAGAAAATTGCAGGTCATACAGGTTTTTACATCCTAAAGGCACATTTGTAGTTTAGCTAACTGGCTTGATCGGTATATGTCCTCTAGTGGGATCTGTACCCACACCCCAGCAACGTGCAGCTTGATTGGTATTCACCCAGGAAACCATCCACCGTCTCAACAGGAGCATGCTCAGACTGTTTCAGGAGTGCATAGTGGCACGTGGGGGCCGTACAGACTACTGAGTCACATTGTGAGTTGCAGTGATGAATGCCGCACAAGTTGGATCAGCCTGTGATTTGATTCTTTTACTTAGATTTTCTGTGTGATTTTGAATCCAGCCCTTAAGTCGGTTGTTGACTTTGGTTTCCATTGACCATTGTTACATTAGTTTGTTCTCAACGGATCATACAATGAAAAGTGTAAAGATTTTGAACTTTGAACTATTTTGTTCATTGAGATCTGATGTGTTCCCCTTCGAGGGAACTCGAACTGCGTCGGTGACGACACTATGGGAACGCCTCTGGGCGTGGCAGGACTGAATCATGAATGAAACTACTCCAATCCTATTGGTGTTGCTAGAATGGTAGCGTGTGATGCCGTAACTGGAGGGGTATATAAGCACGCCGGCACACCGGACACATTAGCTTTTTTCTATTCAGCAGGCACTCTGAGTATGTTTGAAAGCTCCACTACCAAGGAATTGTTGTCTTACCTGGAAATCCTCACGAAGCAGAAGAGACCGTGTCAGGTAACCAGTTCCGACAATGTGTTTTTCCATGCCCACGCTACATCACGGCTGGGGATAACCATGAGATGTGTGTTTCCTGTCTGGGAATGTCACACGCCCAGGCACCTCTCGAGGGGGCTGCCTGCGGCCATTGTGAGGCCCTGTCCCTGAGGGTGCTGAGGTCTCGTGCGGCTCTCTTTTCGGAAGACGGTCGGATGCGCTCATGGGGATTGCAGCGCGATATCTCGGAGGGTGTCGGGACGGCTGAGGCCTTTTCCCGATCCTCGTCTGCTGACTCCGCCTCCCCTCTTCCCCGTTCGGGAGCCCGTTTCTCGGCTTCTCCCGCCAGAGGTATGAGTCCGGAGAGGCTCGCACAGTCTGATTCTGAGGAGTTAGACGTGCTTAGCATCATGGAGGATGACTTTCGGGAGCCGGGCCGACATCATCAGTCTGTGCCCAGCTAAGACGAACTATTGGAGGTGGTGACGCGGGCTGTGGCCAAGTTGAATATTGATTGGCCACAAGCGGTGCAGGAGTCGCGGGTTGGCAGTAAACTAGATGACCGTTTTCTGCAGCACTGCGCGCCGCCCCCGCGCCGATCCTTGCCATTCTTTCCTGATTTGCACAATGAGTTGTGAAAATCATGGAATAAACCCTTCTCTGCACGGCTAACTACTTCCCCTCTGCTGGATTACAGCAATGTGACAGAGATTAAGCAGCGCAGCTACGGAACGATGCCTCGGGTTGAGGAGGCATTAGCGAGCTACCTGTCTCCCACCCTGGCGTCATCCCTAAGGACGCCGGCGCTGTCGGGCAACATCCGCTCTGGTGGGCAAGGCTTATATGGCAGCCTGTCGAGCTGGTGCAAGCCTGCACACTATGGCCATCCTACAGGCATACCAGGCCGATCTGCTAAAGGACTGTGACCAAGGGTAGTCGTGCCTACGGGGTACTGCACACTGGGGGCAGGCGGGGGTTTCGGCGCGGCCTAGTGGGTATTTCATTCCCATAGTGTAGTCACCGACGCACGTCGAGTTCCCTCTAAGGGGAACGTCTTGGGTTATGTATGTAACCCTTGTTCCCTGAGAAGGGGAACGAGACACTGCATCGGTCCACCATACCTCACCCCGCCTGGAGTGCCTTGCTTCATGGCAAAGAGCTAATGTGTCCGGTGTGCCGGCGTGCTTATATACCCCTCCATTTACGCCGTCACACACTACTGTTCTAGCAACACCAATAGGATTGGAGTAGTTTCATTCATGATTCAGCCCTGCCACGCCCAGAGGCGTTCCCATAGTGTCGTCACCGACGCAGTGTCTCGTTCCCCCTCTCGGGGAACAAGGGTTACATACGTAACCCGAGACGTTCCCTTCATTTTTTCAGCAGTATCTACATACAAACAAAAACAGTATATTATATTTAATATGAATACAGGTTATAATACTGCAATACTTTGAAATAGGAAGACAATCTTTTTTCTGTGTCTTTTCCATAGGACAGAGTGGAGACCTGGATTGTACATGACTGCTAAAAGGTAGCAGAGTGAGTTAAAGCAAACCAACATGTTTTTTCAGCGAGGGTGCACCGAAGATGGGGGAAGACATGCACAGGCTGCCCAGCTGTATGGAAAGCTGTGAGTGAGGGCCTGTACAAGAGGGAATCCGTCTTGGAGCTATTCACATTTATATTTTAGAACATTGAAGACGTGGACGTTTTGGGAAGAAATTACAGATAGCCAAGGATTTGAGGCATACTGTGAATGTCAAGTGGTAAGCAACGAATGACTTTGAATACAAGTATTAGTGCACTACTATTGTTGTGATATGCTATTTTTGCTTAATAAAAGGCAACAGAATGTGTGACAATTTTTTTCAGTTTGTGTGTTTTTTGCTCAGTTTTGTTTTTTAATACTTCAATTTGATTAGATCATGAAGAACAGAGAGATACCTTTTATTGCCTTTTATGATCTGCAATTGTTGAATGAACAAGCTTTATGTTTTTCTATGAATTGATGTCATTAGGCTATATGGACAGAATTTATTTTTGTTACTAGTAGAATTTCTGAATCTGAGTTTATGAACTGGTATAGACAGACATTTAGCTGATGCTTTTATCCAAAGCTGACTATATATTATAATTACTAGGGTTGGGCCAATAGAGGATGCCATCGTCCATTGGCGATGGCTGACAGACATCACGATGTTGAGCCGGCATCGTGATTGTAAAACCCCTGCCCCCCCAGCAAAAAGAATCTCAAATATTCACATTATACCTTAATGCAGGTTTTAATGACCACAAACATTCTTATTATTGTTTTTAAGTATGGTATTTGTGAACCTATACACCGGGTGCCTTACACCAATGCAACGGTGGTCATCAAGCTGGAACACTGACCCTTATTTTCAAAATATATATATTTAAAAATTGTGTCATATACATCACCCTTACCCAACATATCTGTCTCAGTCTGACAATTATGAAATATATTTACGTCTATTCCAATATATCACACCACTAACCTTCTGCACTATAACAATTATCCCATACTACCAGTATGACATTTTCGCAACTTTTAGGTAAAATATAACCACTGCAGATAAGATACCACAGATAGGATATAATACATCTCAGGACATTCCAAAACCGATACATAGTTGCCCCGATCTCTTTGACATGATTGTCATCAACCATCTCCCTAACATCAATCAATAAGGTGGTTACCTCCTTCTGCTATTGGTGTTTGAGGCTTGAATGGAGACAGGGATGAAGGAGTTCTTATACCTGTTTTTTTTTTTGGTGATAGGGGCTTTTAAGCACAGGCCAGATGGTAGAAGAGTATACTCAAAGTTAAGAGGATGGGCACTATCTGAGTGAATAGCCATTGCTTTTATAAGCACACGCTTAATGAATTTATGGTTCAGACCGCTAAACTGAACTCCCACTATCTTACTGGCTACTTTAGTGATCCTAGCCAGGGCATTTTTCTCTTTGATTCCAAGGTTACCATACCAGCAGATAATGGAAAATGAAATGACAGATTCAGTCAAAGCTCTATAGAATAGTTACATTAGAGTGTTGTCAATCTGAAATTTAGCAAGTTTCCTTAAACAAAAAAGGCGTTGCTGGCCCTATTCACCGTTATAATCAAATTTCAAACGATTATCAATCATAGTGTCCAAATATTTATAATTAGTGACCATATCCACTGCCTGTCCTTTGACAACACTTTTCGTTGTGGCTGGATGGGAACGTCTGAAAATCTATACACATCTTTTGCTTTAGAAACATTAAGTTGTAAGAAATTTTGATCACACCAGGAAACAAAATCGTTAACAACTGAACCATGACCGGTTTCATCATCACTGAGAAGGCTAACAATTACAGAGTCATCAGCAAACTTAATAATGTGACTGTTGTCATAATGGCTTCGGTAATCATTTGTATATAGAATATACAGGAGAGGAGAAAGAACACACCCCTGAGGAAAGCCTGTGGATAATTTTAACACACTAGACATTTTATCGTTCACCCTTATACACTACGTTCTGTTAGTGAGAAAGTCGAGGACCCAACCTGCAATACTTAAATCCACCTTAAAATTATTAACTAGCTTCTCAACTAGAATATGAAGTTGGATAGTATTGAATGCTGATGAGAAGTCAACCAAAAGAATTCTAGCATGGTTCCCGCTACCTTCTAGGTGTTTATATAATAGGTTGAGGAGAGTAATGGTAGCGTCTTGCACCCCCCTCCTCGTCCTGTAAGCAAACTGAAAAGGTTCCAGAAAGCACTCAAGAGAGCTCTTTTTTAACCAATTTTTTGAATGACTTCATTACCAAGAAAGTCATTAAGGGCTTGGGAGTGGTGTCCCTTGGCAACGGGCACCACAATAGACTTCTTCCATATAGATGGTACTCTCTGCTGTGTAAGTGACAGTTAGAAAATATAATTCCTGGGCTTTTCCTGGGTCCACAACCTTTAAAACATTTAATCACACTCTGCTTATTAAAGAAAGGGTTAATAAGACATAATAAGATATCCAGCTATTAGCAACATCAGTCAGTTCATCAATATCAGAACATGACTCCTCAAACATCTGTTAGTCGGTGTAATCAAAACAACCCTGAAGAGTCAGGCGGGAATCCTCCGTCCAGACCTTCACCTGTATATTTGTCACCTTGCCTCTCTTCAGCGCGGTGCGATATACAGGGATGAGATGCACACAGTTATGATTGGACGAGCCCAAGGGCGGAAGAGGGATGGACTTACATGCGTCTTTGACTGTAGGACAGATCCAGAGTCGGGCATGTAATGTACTGATAAAAGTCTCTCAGTGTTGATGACAGTGTACAATGATTCAAATCACCAAGAATAATATTGATCAACTGGCAATCGATCGGCGGTCGGCAGTTGTTATGTGTGAACTCCACAACGACGCATCAAAACGGCTCCCCGGCACATTTCTGACACATCGCCAACATCTGCCAGATATCTAGCATGCCAAATATCTGGAAGAGTTGGCCGACTCGACATCCACATCCAGCCAATGAGAGCAGGCACCTGGCAGAGCAGACAGCTTCTTTTTCACAGCAAAACACTTTTTACTCACCTCCAGCTCTCTCTGTAGCTCAGACGATCCCTGCTACCTGTGTGTGCTAATCCATTCTTTCACCCATATTCTTTGTCTTTTATAATTGGTATCTTTATAATAACAAACAACAGCTGTTTCATGTGTAGGACTGCTTCATCCAATACCCAACCCTAACAATTACTATATATGTCAGTTTGCACACCTCTGGAGTAACTAGGGGTTAAAAGTCTTGCTCAGGGATTGTGGTGTGTCATTGGTGTGTCACTGCGGACTTGAACCCAGGTCTCTCACCCCAAAGGCATGTGTCTTATCCAATGCTCCATCAAAACCTAGAGATGTGAGACACCCACATTAAAGTAATGCTACATAGAGAGAATAGCCAAAATCAGTGTGCTACGTATAAAGAATTCATTGTTTTCACGTTACAATGTGTAACTAATTAAATAAAGTCAAAAGTCGCTACCTCCGGAAGTGTCCACACGATTGTGAGTGCATATCCTGTGACAGTGGCGCTGCCCTGAGAGCTGAGCCTGCACCGGAAGCGACTCCACAGAGGAGACCTGCAGACACACTGTCTTGCCTGATTTTAAATTTAAACATCATTTTGAGGGAACAAATTAGATTCAGTCCATTTAAATGCCATCATGATATATCATTGCTGTTAAAGATGTCCTATTTTGTTTTGTTTTTTATTTTTGTTAGATAAGTTTAAGGATGTCATTTTTTCCTTTATTAGTGCACAAACTAAACAGTAGTCACTTTCCAGATTTGACAGTGATAGAAACAGACAGGGATGGGTAAAGTTAAATCAAAATGTATTTTTAAATAAGATACCACATTCCCTAATTTTAAGTGTGGTAGCCACAGCATGTATAAAAATAAACTATGGTGTTTTTTAATTTCAAAAATACTAATAACACTCCTCCAAGGTACTATGGAATCACTTCACAAACCTTCTATCTATTTTATCTGTCCCTTCTTCAGTACACTGACTCAGTTGATTACAGTTTTTCTCGATTGCTTAACCCTTCAATCTAGCTGAAACACCAAACTTTGCCCTCCTACATAACACACAAAAACACATACACTACAACACAGTCTTGCACGCTGGTGAGATAAATTCAAAACAATACTACAAAAACTGGTAATGTTGCTTGTGGTTCTCCCCCTCAAAAACCTGTTTACATGATGAAGACAACAAAAAAACAACAAATACATTTGCACATTTTTTTATTCCTTACTTAGTGTACAGTACAGTACAACACACCAAACAACAAATAGTTCAACAAATCTAGATCATGTGTCAAAACGGTGAATAGTAATGTAATAACTTTATTACAGACACAGGTCCATATAACACATCATGAAGTACGCAATACAAGGAAATACATAAATAGAAAATACATACATAAAAATTCCATATTAGCCTAGGATATACAGACTATTGCACCAATGTCAATGTCATCAAGTGTTTATAGTTTACAGAAATGGGTGTCCTTTGGGTTATGGTTTTGAAATTTTAGTTCAAAGGCCTGGTTATAGTGTTTAAGCAATCAAAAAAAACGTTTTTTAAAAGCTTTCAGTGGGTTCTGTGGCTGTGTTGATCATGTCTCCTGCACAGCATTATGATGCTATAGAAAATAATGGAGAAATGGGATGACTGATAATAGTCCTCTTGCTGATCTTGTTTTTACATCAGCAGTCTGCGTCTTCACTGTATTCTGACATTTGAAATGAATGAATTTAAGCTCATTAGCTATGCTGCCCTTGTGCTGTTGCTCTGGGGTAAAACAGATTATTGCCTGTTTAGCCTTGTGTGAGCAGTGAATGGAAGCCTTTGTTACAAAGTGAAGTGCTCTGTTTTCACTGCAGACTGTGGACAGTTAGCAAAACGAATGGGCTTTTCACTAATTCATGTTGACTGTTCTGCCCACAAATCACAGGAAAAGCTTTATTGTTTTGTTTTGTTTGCATATTAGTTACTTACAATTAGATGTGCACTGTCAATCAAACTTCAGTGTCAATCACAGTGTGTTAAGAGGCTTCTCTCGCCTTCACTCTGCTTTGCTATTTAATTCAATTTAATTCAGTGGTAGATTAGGCTGTAATCAAATAAACAAAAAAACTCAACCAGCAATTCTGTAATGTAGTCAGGAAGAATAGAAAGTGAATATGAAGTTCATGATAATAGTTGTTAATCCTGCTTCATGCTAATAGTTGTTAATCCTGCTTGGAGAACCTCTGTGTGTGTGTGGTATCTGTTTTTTCCTGAGG